CAGAAGTTGTGGCAGGGTGCACCCAGAAAAGTGCTGGGGGGGAGGGGGGAACGGGACAGAGGGAGCCCCCTGTGCACCCAAGACAGCTGTAGATGATGGAGCCAGCCCCACAGATACTCCTGCCTTGTTACCATTGCATGGCCTGGAGGGGGACAGCCTGGCCCAGCCAGCATTGCAGGGAAGAGCGTGGTTCCAGAGAACCCAGCTCTGAGCCTCCAAGGGGGTAGAGCTGCCCTGCCCCCTGGGATGTGGGGCGGAGACTAGCCCTGACCAGCTATCTGCCCCACTAACTGTCAGATCCAAAGGATTCGCTCCCCATCTCCCAGCCTGGGCTGCTCAGGGGCTCCCCTAGCTGTCTCCCTCCTGGCAAGTTCCTGAGCTGCTGCTGTCCCCCACGGCCACAGGCCGCCCCTTGTCCCGTTCAGGATGGACCTGCTGTTCGGGCGCCGGAAGACGCCGGAGGAGATGCTGCGGCAGAACCAGCGGGCCCTGAACCGGGCCATGCGGGACATGGATCGCGAGCGGCAGAAGCTGGAGACCCAGGAGAAGAAGATCATCGCCGACATCAAGAAGATGGCGAAGCAGGGGCAGATGGTGAGCGAGGGGCAGGGCCGGGGGGAGCATCTCTAGCTTGAGCCCAACCTGTCCCCCTCAGGGCGGGGTGAGGGTCATGGCGGGTGGGGGTGTCTCCAGCTGTAACCCACCCAGAGTGGAGGACACAGTGAAGAGCATGGGGGTGTTCCTCGCTGTAACCCATCCCCCCGGCAGGACACGGTGAAGAGCATGGGGGATGAGGACTATGAGGGGAGGGTGTGTGTGGTCTCTGGCTGTAACCCATCCCCCTGGCAGGACGTGGTGAAGAGCAGGGGGGATGAGGAGTATGAGGGGAGGGGGTGTGTGGGGTCTCTGGCTGTAACCCATCCCCCTGGCAGGACGCAGTGAAGAGCATGGGGGATGAGGGCTATGGGGGAGGGGGTGTGTGGTCTCTGGCCGTAACCCATCCCCCAGCAGGACGTGGTGAAGAGCATGGGGGATGAGGGCTATGGGGGGAGGGGATGTGGGGTCTCTGGCTGTAACCCATCCCCCTGGCAGGACGCGGTGAAGATCATGGCCAAGGACCTGGTGCGAACCCGGCGCTATGTCAAGAAATTCATCATGATGCGGGCGAACATCCAGGCCGTGTCGCTCAAGATCCAGACCCTCAAGTCCAACAACTCCATGGCCCAGGCCATGAAGGGCGTCACCAAGGCCATGGCCACCATGAACAGACAGGTACATGGGCTTCTGCCAGCCAGGCTGGGCAGCGGGGCGGGAGTGCTGGCCATGAGGGGAGTTCCTGGCTACTCCAGCCAGGCCTCTCCCAGCAGGGGGCACTGTGGGGAGCGGGGCAAGGTTCTGACCCATGCGTGGGGGTCCCTGGCTACTTCAGCCTCACTTCTCCCAGCAAGGGGTACTGTGGAGAGCAGGGCAGTGTGCTGGCCACGGTGCGTGGGCTCCTGGTTACCTCAGCCTGGCCTCTCCCAGCAGGGGGCGCTTTAGGGCCAGTCCATTTGATTTCCCCAGGGCAGTGACTGTATATTTCCGCCCCCCAGCTGAAGCTGCCCCAGATCCAGAAGATCATGATGGAGTTTGAGAAGCAGTCAGAGATCATGGACATGAAGGAGGAGATGATGAATGATGCCATCGATGATGCCATGGGGGACGAGGATGATGAGGAGGAGAGGTGGGGGGAGCAGGGCAGGGAGGACTAGCTGGCTCTGTGGGGTAGGGGGCATGGGGCCTTTCCCCGCTAGTGACTGCCTGCTCCCATCTGGCCCCAGGGTGGGGATCTGGCTGGCTCAGGAGGGTGGGGAATGGGACCCCAGGGCCTTTCCCCCTAGGGGGCGCCAGTTCTCATCTATCGCTGGCGCGGAGGGGTGGGGAATGGGCCTTTTTCCCCTCTATGGGGTGCTGGCTCCCATCCATCCCCAGGGCCCATCAGCAGGACAGTGACAGACTGAGCCCCCAGAGGGGTTCCCCAGGCCGAGCAACACCCTTGGGGTGGGGATGAGCTCACCCAGCTGGTGCCCGCTCCAGGGATACACCAAGTGCATTGTCCTGGTACCTCTCCCCAGGTGTGTGGGGACCGGGGCTGCTGGGTGAGTGGGGTGTTGGCTTCTCCTCTCCAGCCTGATTATCTGGGGGCGTGGCTCTTTCCCCTCTGCGTGTGGCGGGTCTTGGCCGTGTCCCTGCTCTCACACGCCCATCTCTGCCCCCCAGCGATGCTGTGGTGTCCCAGGTGCTGGACGAGCTGGGCCTGACCCTGACGGATGAGCTCTCCAGTGAGTATTCCAGCTGCGGGTGTTGGGGGGAAGGGCTCTGGCAGGAGGCACTCACAGGCCCGGGGGGGCTGGGAGCCAGGTCCCCCTGCGCCTGGGTCATGAGGGAGCATAGCTGCTGGGGGTGCTGGGCAGTGTGGGGGAGGCCTTTGCTGCCTGACCCTGCCAGTGCCTGGGAGATGGGGGGCTATGGGGTGCTCTGGGTGGGCTGCCCCCCCTCCCTGCAGACCTGCCCTCGATGGGAGCCTCGCTCGGGGGGGGGGGGGTTGTGGGGTGCGTCCGGGCGGGC